TGCGAGTGAGAATAATCTTCGTGCAGAGCTTGTAAAGCACGCGCAGCAGGCATATTGGACGGTAGTTCCGGGGATCCTCCCTGTCGCCTTTCTGAAGAAGGATTGTTCGGGAGGTTTTCCACTGGTCGGAGATCCTTTCCTTTTGAAGTAGGACGTTTGTTCCGCAAGTATCTCGTGTAGGCGATATCCTCTAGCTCGTAAGACGTCGGCCGAAACATGGTCCGATCCTGGAGCCATGGCTTTCATGGTCTGGATCACGGCGCGCACTCCAGCAAGCAGAATCCGTGGTGATATTTCTCCAGTGGGAATGACGGCGTTAAACACGTAGTTGACGAGCGTTAGTGATTGGTGTAAAATCCCTTCGTGATCGATTCTATCTTTCCTCGGTAAGATTTACGAGTCCCACCTTCGTTTCCTAATGTTGTCAGCAGTATACAGTGGTCGAGAAGGTTCCTGCGGTACTTCTTTAGACTTCTCCTTCTCTGTACTGCTTGAAGTTTCCATTGCCTGTACTGCCTGTACTTTAAAAGATCTTCCTTCAAAGCTGTTCTGCAACTGGTACTGGCAATCAGTCGCTTGAGATGTAATGCACTCGGATCCAGCCTCAGTGCTCTCCTTTTCTAACAGATCCCTGGTAGCTTTCGAAATTTGTTCCAGGTTTCTTGTTTGAAGCATTGAGGCACTTTCAGCAAAGGCTCTTACTTCTCTGAGAAGTAGGTCGTAGTTCTTCTTGGGTCGACCTCGATGAGCCAGTCAAAAATAGTCAGAAGTCCTCCAATCAGGCCATATACAACTTCTCTTCTTCCTCCAACACGGTGACAGATCTCCTTTTCCAGATTTTTGGCTGAATCGCACTTTTGCTCAAAGGAGAATGTGATCTGAACCATTGCTGAAGATTACTACCACTGAGACGTCTAGTAAGTACCACCTTCGGTTGGTGAGAATGTGGTCGATCTCCGCATGAGCCGTACCGTTGGGTGACTCCAATGTCCACCGCCGGTGTTATTTCTTGCTGAAGATGGAGTTGTCATGAAAAGTCGTGCGGCGGATAAGAGCACAACAAGACGGTTACCATTCTCATTCCGGAATCTTAATGCAAGCCACCCAATCCTATGCTCTCCTTCCTCTGTTATCCCGATTTTAGCGTTGAAGTCACCAACGAAAAATTTGTAGAAAGACTTCTCTCTGCGGGTGACCTCCTCCGATCCTCTTAAGAAAATCACTCGGAATCATCAGCTGAGTTGATAATAGTGATGGTTTTCTGATGCAGAGGACGGACTCGAAGGGTAGCCAGGCGAGGTGATAGGATCTCATGCGAATCGACAAGACAGACAACGGGATGTACGACAAATCCAGCACCTGCAACTTCCTTGATGCG